AATCGCAGTTTGAGGGAGACACCTGTGTATAAAAATGGCCAAAAAAATGACATCACCAACTATCGTCCAATATCTATTTTGTCCACGTTGTCAAAAGTGCTGGAAAGATTGGTCCACAATGCTGTCTATCCATATCTGCATAGTTTTATTATTCCTGAACAACATGGTTTTGTCCGAAATCGCTCCACGGTAAGTAATTTGGCTTTATACGCTAACTTCTTATTTGAAAATATGGATAACCGACTCCAAGTTGACACCATTTACACTGATTTCTGTAAAGCTTTTGACAAGGTGGACCATACCATACTACTACAAAAAATCGCATTTAATGGTATACGTGGGAATTTGTTACGCTGGTTTGCTTCTTATGTAAAAAATAGAACCCAAAAGGTTGTGGTCAATGGCTTTTCTTCAGATGTGGTAGACATGACATCTGGTGTACCGCAGGGATCAATTTTGGGTCCGTTGCTTTTCGTTCTCTTCATAAATGACATTAGTACCTGCTTCAAAAACACCCATTTTCTCTTATATGCTGACGACCTTAAAATTTTTCGGAAAATAAACACAACTGAAGATTGTTATAAATTGCAAAGTGATCTGGATCGTTTGTCTGCTTATTGTGCTGCTAATAATTTACAGCTGAGTTTATCAAAATGTAAATCTATCACATTTACTAAAAATATTCATGTCATCCATTTCACATACTCTCTTTGTAACACTCCCTTAGAAAAAGTCTCCATAATAAAAGACCTGGGAATACTATTTGACTCGAAGCTACATTTTGATGCTCATATTAGTCACATTACGGCTAGAGGCTTTCAGCTTAGTGCTTTCGTAAGAAGGACCTGTAATCTGTTTAAAAGGCTGCGACGTATTTATTACTATATAAGTCACTCATTAGGTCACAACTCGAATACGCCACTTGTGTTTGGAACCCTTATTATGAAAAATGTAGTGATCAGCTGGAATTGGTACAACGTAAATATCTTCGGTTTTTAAACTATAAATGCTTTAGTCTATCTCACTCATTTAGATAAATTCTCAATTTCCACTCTAAATATGAGAAGATTAATTTTGATCAGTTATTCTTATACAAAATCTGTCATAATAAATTAGATTGTAATCAACTCATAAATCAAATATATCTACGCATACCTAGTTGGTCCCAACGCATTCGTAATACGTATAATAGTCATCGTTTATTTGCTCCTAAGATGTGCCGGCGTATCATGAAATCATATAATAATAACTTTACTGATCACATATTTGCTCTATCATTTGTAATGTTCAAACCGTGTATTTAAAAAAAAATTACTACTAAGTAAAGTATTGCCTTATGGTTTAAACAGTTTATTAATAGTTTAACTGTTGTTTCTCGAGGCAAGTTTTGGCTAGCATGGCCACTACAGTGGTTGTGATGGCTGGGATTTGCTCAGGGCACGCTCGAATTATTCATCTTTTGTAGTATCATACAACGTGTTTGCTGTGCATTATTATATTACTTTTATTGTGATATTACTTTGTGGATAACGGTGCTGGTTGTGTAATTACTTGTATTTACCTTTTTATAAGACCTGTATTTTGTATTATATTTTATTACACAATTGTTTGTTATCCTGAAGAAAAAAAAACTCTCTCGATTACCATAAAAATGACACTCATGATGAAAAAATTGATACCTATTGCCGCCGCCATCTTGGATTTACATTTCGACAGCACTATCGGCTTCAACACCCTCGAAAAGCATGAAAATGACACCCATGATGAAAAAATTGGTACCTAATTCAGCCGCCATCTTGGATTTACATTTCGACAGCACTATCGGCTTCAGCAGTCTCGAAAACCATGAAAATGACACCCATGATGAAAATATTGATACCTATTGCGGCCGCCATCTTGGATTTACATTTCGACAACCCTATCGGTTTCAACACCCTCGAAAACCATGAAAATGTCATCCATGACAAAAAAATTGATACTACTTACTTTTAGTACGTATTACTATTATTTATTATGTGCTTTTAAATATTGTAATAAAAAAATCTCTTATTATTATTATAATCAAGTATTTAAGAAATTTGGTTATTCGAATATTGTGTATTTATACAGCGATCTTTTTGAGCTGCTGCAAACAACCGAAACAATTTCCACTCACGACGGCGATTGACGCCGAACTGAGTGAGTGAGTAAACTACTCTGTGGCTGTAGCTCCCCATTTACAGAAATAATTTACATACAAGGCTACCAAATCAAAGAAAGTTTCGCCATTTTGGAGCCGAAAAAAATTAATTATAGCTAAACGAAACAAAATTACACTGCCATTTACATTCAGTGGCTTCCCACATGATGGATTAAAAGATTAAAAAATAGATTGAGTTAAACAATTGATATTTTCAAAAGTTATTGTGTTTACAAGCCTTGGGGACATGTTAAATCCACACCATAAGCCAGTAAAACCCCTTTTTTATTTAAAAATAGCAATTAATCGATTTAAAAAAAAAAATTAGTATAAGTTCAACAATCATTTATCTTTCTAACAATGTGCTTTTTATATCATCTATATATATATATATATATATATATATATATATATATATATATATATTATATAATATGATTGCTAGATACGATTTTATTCGATAAAACGTTGGAATCTTAATTTTTAGGCGATGGTGGAACATACCTTGCGCTTTCGCTTAAGACATAAGACATGCAAAATACTACGTTATTAAACTACTTTCTCCTTTGGCAACCTAAAAATGATAGAACAGAAAATAATGATTTAGATCTATGAAGCTACAAATAATAATACAAATTAAACAACTCCATGGTTGTTATAAAAGGTGACTTAAGGTATGTGATAGGTAAAAATATGCTTAACATTTATGTATATTGCATTATTAGAAGGCACGGATGGGCTAATATATGCAATATATAATAAAGTCAAGTAATAATGTCCATAGTCTCTGAGGTATTTGCATGTTTGCCTACAGAGAGAGATTACTTACAGGCGCTAGATTGTACTTTATGTAATCTTTGTTGCTTTGCTTCACTTTTATTATTTAGGACCTATTAAAGGTTTAGGGTGAATAATTACATGCATCTACTTACTGTCGTAAAAGATATAAACGTTTTTACATTACCTAGTCAGGTCATAAGTATTGTCACACAGTAAAAACTTTTCTTTTAGAATGCTGGCCACAAAAAAGTTTATTGAATTCGAATTTCGAATTGTTCATGAAAATAAAACTGTATACTTTTTAGAATTTTACTCACTTTTAAATATGGAGTGGACGCTTAAAGAAAACCGTGTTGCAGTTATTGCGTTGCATTGTTACGGTTACGCGCCAATTCAAATTTTTGACATTCTGAAAAATTTGAATATAACCAAAAGATTCGTTTGTCGTACCATCAAACGATACAATGAAGACTCTAGTGTAGATGGCAGGTCAAGAAGTGGTCGCCCTCGATCTGCTAGGACTCTAGCAGTGATAAAAGCTGTGAAGGCGCGCATTCAAAAAAATCCTAAACGTAAGCAGAAACTGTTGGCCCTTCAGATGGGGTTAAACAGAACCACGGTGTAAAGGGTGTTAAATGAAGTCTTAGGGCTTCGGGCATACCTATCGAATAAAAAACAGGACATCGTTTGAATGCTCGTCTAATGTACCTGAGACTGAAGAGATGCCGCGCTTTGTTGAAGCGGTACGCGGGAAAAAATATCGGGAAATTCTTATTTCGGATGAAAAAATGTTTACCGTAGAAGAGAGCTACAGCAAAATGATAAGGTGTACGCATACAGTAGTGAAGAAGCGAGCAACCGTATTCCGCGTATCCAACGAGGTCATTTACCATCCTCGCTCATTCTATGGTTGGGAGTTTCTTATTGGGGCTTAACAGAGGTACATTTTTGTGAGAAAGGTGTAAAAACGAATGCAGTTGTGTATCAAAAAACAGTCCTGACGAACCTTGTGGAACCTGTTTCTCATACCATGTTCAATAACAGGCACTGGGTATTCCAACAAGATTCAGCGCCAGCTCATAGAGCGAAGAGCACACAAGACTGGCTGTCGGCGCGTGAAATCGACTTCATCCGGCACGAAGAATGGCCCTCCTCCAGTCCAGATTTGAATCCGTTAGATTACAAGATATGGCAACACTTGGAGGAAAAGGCGTGCTCAAAGCCTCATCCCAATTTGGAGTCACTCAAGACATCCTTGATTAAGGCAGCCGCCGATATTGACATGGACCTCGTTCGTGTTGCGATAGACGACTGGCCGCGCAGATTTAAGGACTGTATTCAAAATCACGGAGGTCATTTTGAATAAATTTTAGTGTCATAAGAATCTATGTTTTGTTAAGTTCATTTTTGTATATAAATGGTTACATAATGAATAAACTTGTTTCAATTATTTTATATTAAACATGTGACAGGATTTATGACCTGACTAGGTATATTTACAGCAAAAACTAAATCACTCACATATGAAATGATAGTTCGCGTGATTTTTGACTATATTTTGAGGCACAGCCTCTTACACAACACTTAGTCATCTTCGTACTTTATATTAAATTGGAAAATTCACTATAAACTGTTTAAAAATTCGCAAAATTTTTAAATTAAGAAATATCAAACGACTTTTTATAACAGCAAATCTGAAACAATAAATGGCGGAATCGGCCGCAAGGCGGGGTTAAATGACATCTTCTTAAAAATGTTTACCAGAATACGAAACAATTTCTATTATCTGTTTCATTTATGAATGACACTCGCTGAGTGAAAAAGAGATAGGCAGCATATTGACAGTTCAATGTCGAATATAACAACATTTTTTTATAACCAATATAACATATACACGCTCTGGGTAGCTCCTCTATTTTCTATGCTCAAAGATGACAAATGACATTGACATTGACAATTTATTTCATGTACATGTATGAAATATTTGATTTTATTGTTCTGTTCCTTTTTCTTGTTGATTTTTATTAAATAAGATTGGAAGATGACCTTATTTAAAATAAGATCTTCACCCATGGTAGTATTTGAAGATGATTACAATAAAAACATTTTACCCCTTGTAAAAGATGTCTTACGAGATAACCTCAATATGAATATTTTTTCCTACGAACATTCAACAAAACTTTGGGAGAACATTTTCAGAGAAAAGATCGTACAATGTTACAGTAAATTTGTTCCAGAAATGTTCAAAGAGTACACTGACCAACAATGCTGTATTTTAATAGATTCCATAAACCAAATGGCATTAAATTTGGGCTGGTACAAATGCTTAAAGTACATCAAAATGCTTAAAAATAATCAAAACGTCAAGAAACTTATTGTAGTACTGCATAAAGATTGCTTACAATTTTCATCCAAATTACAAAAACATTTAAATCATATAGCAAATGCGACTGTTTCATTTAATGATAATAATTCATTTATGATTACAGTGCAATTGAAAATAGGTAATAAGTTAATAAAAACTGAAGAAATTTTGTCTTATGATCAGCTTACATCTGTTTTAAAATGTGAAAAAGTAATTAAAGAGATACCCAAAGAAGAAGAACCTGCAAAACCTACTCCAGACAGCCTTTCTACTTTTAAAATAGAAGTAGATCAAACTCAAAAGTTGGAAAAATATAAATTAAAGTTACCATATATGAGTAAAATAAATGAAGGCCAGAGTAAAGTTTACTATGAACCCGATGCAGTTGATGACTGGGATGATGAAGATCCAGATGATGATCTTGATATATAATAAATATTAAGTAGAAAAATCTGTATTTAATTCATCTGTAATAAATTTACATCTTTTTTTTTTATAGAATCGAGTGACAAACGAGCCCACAGTCCACCTGATGGTAAGTGGTTGCTGTGGCCCATGGACATCTACATTTATCTTCGTTTGTGAATCAAAACACAGATGCGTTGTCACTCGTGAGGACTAAGATGGAATGCCTCTTTTCCAGTAAAAAGGGTCTCCGGTTCTCTACACTCACCATACGAAACACAGCAGTGTTAAACTGCTATTTGACGCTGGTATTTTGTGAGAACGTGGTCCTTCCCCAGTCGAGCTGACCCATTCGTGCTACAACTATACTACTAATATAGCTGCAGCGTGGCTCTACCACGTAACAATGTCTTCTACAGGTCTCCAACCTAAAAACATTAATAGTCCATAGCATGGATGATACAATGGTTGAGAGGGTTTTTCATATTCAGGTACAATCTATAAAATATGTGTGTAACAAGTAAATTCCGTCTGCATTGAAAGAAGTAAGTACCATACCATAATATCATGTATGGTATTTTGCCTAACACATAGTTATGGTTATGCAGGTAGCTCAGCATTGTGCTTTGTGGCATTCCTTGGGGAGACCTGTCCAGCTGTTGATTTATGAAGGGCTATAATGATAGTTGTGGTTGAAATTGATATGTTAATGCTTATAAAAATAGTTAATTCTAATCATAGTTGTTGTAGATACCAGCCTAAAACATAATTTCATTAATATCATGGTAAATATGCCATTCTTGCTCCTTTGTTTTATAATCTGTCCTTTATAGCCCACTTTTACAATTTTTAAAAAGTTTGTTACTACAGTGACAAAGAACTGAGTATATCCTTGGATTATCTAACTGATACTAATGTTGAAATCCAAAAATCTATTCATCTATTCAAATGAGACGTTCTTAGTCCTCAGAGGTGACAATCATTCATCATCATCATCATTACAGCCCTTCACAAGTCGACTGTTGAACATAGGTTTACATTGAGCCATGCTGCAGCTATATTAGTAGTTATAGTATGAATAGGTCTGCTCGAATGGGGAAGGAACATTCTCTCATAGAATACCAGCATAAAATAGCAGCTTAAAGCTGAAGTGTTTTGTATGGCGAGTGTAGAAAAACAGAGACCCTTTTTCTGGAAACAAGGCATTCCATCTTAGTCCTCATGGGTGACAACACATCTCGAGCATTTTGATTTGTAATTGAGGATAGATGTAGATGTCTATGGGCCACAGCATCCACTTACCATCAGGTGGACTGTGTGCTCGTTTGTCACCCCAGTTCTATAAAAAAAACATTCTCCAATTAATTATAAGCAACTGTTTATTTATTTATTATTAATGAACTGTTTATTTACATTCTTTGATATTGCAAGTTTTCATAGTATTCAATAAATTATGTCTTACAAACTTTTTTACTTGCTGTATTTTATGCTATAATTAGGAGCTAGAATCTGTTTGTTTTTTATAACATATTGGAAATGTATTTATATTTAATCGTATCGTTATGTTCACCACCATTGGGGAATCAAATCAACCTATAAACGATGACAACAAGAAGAGAGTTTTATTGGTGTTTACGGTTTATTAATGTGATGCTGTGGTCCATATCCTAGATTTTTAAACGAGATAGTTATACTACCATATTTCGATGGTGAGATACATATGAAGTCTCTTTCGATGCTATCATACGGATAATCATCATCATCATCATCATTACCATAAAATTTCACTGGACTCCATGGCCTCACACAAAGAATGTCACCATACACTGCTCTGAGGCACCTGCATCAATCGACTTTTTGCGTCTAGTCCTACATTTTGCATACCTGTATGAGGCTGCTGCTACTCGAGAACCTTTCTTGACAACAAGCATCATCATCAACACTATTAAAATAATATCAAATATAAAATTTATTTATAATTTGACTACAAAGCCACCAATCAGGTCCAGGTTTTATAATTTTCTTTTTTGGCACTAAAACTACAATTGTGATGATTTTGATCCATAAATATACAATTATTTATTGACTTGACTACAGCGCCATTTATCCACTCCTAGCATAGTTATATAAACCATCATCTCGACTAAAACTCTTCATAACATATTTACATAAGATCTCAAGTTGTTGAGTTACACAGTCAGTACTAGCCTATGATTATGTATATAAAAATAATGTTACTAAGGAAGGGAATGTATAATTTTGTTGGTTAGAATGAGGCAGATGAAAAGAAGGAATGAAAATATCGGTTACAAAGAATCCACTTTTTATTAATTTTTCTATATTCAGTTACAATTTTGCGATTTTTTTCCACCGCCACGTAACTTATGACATTACACAATATATATTTAATAAAGTAGAAATCCAAGTACGTGGAAGTTAAATTTATTAATGACACCATAATTACATCACCATATTATCAACTCTTAAATTATCATTCATAATTACTTATTCAGTGATTATTTTTATGACCTAACAAACAAAAAGATAAATCATTACAACAGAGAAACGATTATGAAGCTCTCCGAATCGCCGCCACTTACGTTGTAGTAGTAAATAAAAATAATTATATTATGTTTTTACCACATAGTGTAATAACAATATCAACGAAAAAAAAAAAGATTCAATTTCCTAAAATTGAATTTCAAAACTTATTATACACAAGCTGAGCGCACAAGCCTGAAACTGAAAAGTAAAAAAGAACACTAGCATTTTTAATAAACCAGCCAAGTTGCAACAATTTGGCCTGTAAAGCACGAAGAAAAACAATAAGCTCATCAATTAGACGTAATAAAGCTAACAAAATACAAATACGATAAAAATGATTTACAACCTAACAAAATCCTTATGTTCATGTACAAAAGTCTTTGCACGATGTAAACCAGGGGTAGATGATCATTAATTAGCGGGCGTCGGAACGATACATGTACACAAGGTAGGGGGAAGAAGGTGGGGATGAGTTTTTTTAACCCTCCTTTAGTTCTTTAAGCCGCTCTTCTCGCGGCCGCGCGCCGCCAAATATTGAAGAAGCCTGGCTTGTTGAAGCCAGAGAGTTCACCGGCTCTTTAACGGTCCTGGGTTCCAGTACCAACTTTGGTCTGCCTGTCGTGTCTGTAAAATACAAAATTTACTTTTATTAAATTTTTTATATAAGATTATTCACTGGCCCAGAAGTTGGTTGTGGGAATGAGTTTTCACCCTGAATTTTTACTGTATAAATATAATAACTGAAGTGTAAATATTTTGTGATTTTCCTTTTAGGCACTAAAAAATATTATATTGTGAACATGAGTCATTTTACTCGACTTTTGCTATAGCAGTTCTCTTTTTTTATAAAACTGAAGTGACAAACAAACTTACAGTCTACCTGATGATAACTGGGTACTGCCAGTCCATGGACATGTGCAGCCAACTTCAAACAAAGATGGCAACAGATGCGATGTGACCTCTGAGAACTAAGATGTAATGCTTTGCAGCCTGTAATTATACTGGCTCTCATTTTTTTTTTATAGAATTAGGGTGACAAACGAGCACACCGTCAAAACACAGATGCATTGTCACCCATGAAGACTGAGATAGAATGCTGTTTCCAGTAAAGTGTCCCCGGTTTTCTACACTCACCATATGAAACACACAACAGTGATAAGCTGCTATTTTACGTTGGTATTCTGTGAGGTAGACCCATTGCATGCTACAACGTGGCTCTACCACGTAAAAACCCACCAAACTGGAACACAGCAGTGCAGACACTGCTATTAGGCGGTAGAAATAGGTAGCAGGGTGGTATCTACCAGACGGACTCCTAACAGAAAGGGAGTTCTTGTCCACCATATGTCGCACACTTACTTTTTTTTGTTGGACAAATCTGCATGCATTAAATAACAGTTTGAATTGCATTTTTATAGGCAAAAGTCTGCATATGTTAAACAACGAAACAAGTGCTATCACGTTGATACAAATCTCAAGATATTATGGCCAATTGGCTTAAGAACTTTGACTGTCAAGTTGTTGTTGTGGTTGGGTCAAGGTGTCGTTAAAATCTTGCAATTACTTCTCAATGTGGCGTATCGGACATATTGTGAAGGATTTTATTGAAACAAAATATTATAAAGGATAATTTCTTATTACTTAACACTAGCAAAAGTACAACCGTACGAGTTCATTACCAAAGAAAAGATCGGGTTGCGGCTGCGTCGGGGACACGGCCGTGTGTTTTACGTGAATACGTGTACGTAACGTAACGATCCCAAAATGGCGACGCTCTTCCCTCCACCGCGCGCGATGCGTTACAGTTCTTACTCAACTAACGAATTCTTTGATACTTTAGCTATAGAGTGGTGTAATTAAATTATGGTTGTGGATGATAGATATGTAGCTACAACATCAAACTGTATGACGCCCATTACACGCCTAGGCAAGCGTCAATCAGTTCGATTAATCATGACTGAGGTTTGAATGATGGAATAATTTGGACATTACACGCTCATGCTGACTGATCGTCAGTCAAACCCAAATTTTCGGAGTGAAAGGACGTACCTATAACCTAAGTTCATTTTCGATTCACCATTTAATTATAATTTTATATCTTGAAAAGAAAAAGAAAAAAAACGAATAGGAAAAATTGTAATATTTAATATCATTTTACCCATTTTAATTTAACGCGCGCAAATGTTAGACCTCTTGGAGTGCATAATCGATACGCGGTTTTATTTAAAACGCATTTATGGACGAAAAATAAGCTTAACTTTTACATTTATTCGTATAGGGTGGATGCCCCTATTACCAGCCTTTTAGTGCCAATTTCAATTTCCTTTTGTGTATCTAATGCCAGCATAGCATAGGGCTATGCCTTTTGAGTTTTTGGTAGGTACCTATTGTAGGTAAATTTTAGGGGCACTGAAATAAATTCATAACAACTTTTAATTTTAAATCATGCATGTCACAAGTATGGAATATGTATTAAGATAGAC